TGGGCCAGCTCCTCTCAGCCAATGGGAAGGCGCAGGCATTGGCCCCTCAGCGGGCCAATCGGAGGGGCAGCGCCCCACGCGCCGCCGGGCCAGGACGGCCCCCCGCCCTCCCCTCAACCGGCAGGGGCCCCCCCCCGGGGGCGCAGGCTCCCCGGAAGAGCCCCCCCGGCCAGCCCCCCCGCGGAGACCTGCCCGTCCCGGGGCGGAAAGGGGTCGGCATTATCAAGGACCCTGTAGGAGGCCACGGTAGGTTTAGGAAAGTCTTTATGTAAAGTTATCTTTATTACAGGCAATATTGGTCCATACAATACACAATACTGACATACAAGTTGAATCTTTCAAAATCATCATTTAACAGTAAAGACCAAGAAACAGAATTTTTAACTACTTGATTCTCAAAAAAGTAATACGCGCCTCTCTTCCAAGATCCTTTTTGGTAAGTTATATTGAAACATACAAATAGAGAAAAATACCCCATTCAACATATATTGTAGTTAAATGGTTATTTTGCTTAAAATCTTTTTAATAAGAAAATCCTTTTATTAAGCAACCTACATAGAGATAAATAGCAAACTGGTTTTTAAAGAAATCCTCTCCATTAAAACATCTGAAGAATTTCATCCATCATTTTCTTCTGAGCTCAAACCATCTGTTTTAAGAAGCTTACCTTAAAAGGTTTCAGCTGAAAGACCAACGGAGGGGCTCCCTCGGCATTACAACACCCTCCTCTGGCTATTTTCCAACTTTCTTCTGTCCAACAGAAGGCGAATAAGCACGTAAGACTTCAGGCTGTGTTTTTTTATTATTACTTCACCGTTCTGTTTCATGAGAGCACAGACAGACCTGCCGACTCACTCCCCCCCTACACATCTACTACATTTTGTTCTTCAGGAGGAACAATACGGGCCAATAAAAGCAGAAAATCTGCAGCTTCTGTCACATGCTTTTGATTATTGTCAAATTCTGATTTTATGCTTCCATCTGGCAACACAAGTGCATTGTTATAATGTTAGTTTAAATCTTTAAACAAAAAACTATATTTTCCAAAGTCATTATCATTGGGAGCAATCAAGTGGTCTTTTCTGGCTTTGTTGAACTTCATCCTTAGAACATGTCTCCGCTCCTCCCATTCACGGAGTTCAGCTGGTCCATGTGCAAATTTACAGTTATTTCCTTCGACACATGTACCAGCCATAAATCTGTACAGAAGAAGAACAAGCAAGTAGCACATTCTTTGAATACAGCATCTGCGCAAAACATGAGGGGGCTACTACAGCCCCGAATACACGGCTAGCCCTTCTGCCGTCAATTCCAGCTTCCACCCAGCCCCTCACAACCTGGCTGAGCCTCTGCAAACAGGCATCGAAAGGGGCAGGTGGCTTATTTGCTATGGCTGCTGAACTTAACACCAGTTCTGCTCACTACTGCAAAGGGAAAGCAGAGAAGCCCAACAGACTGCTTAAGAGGAGGACTCGAAACTTGGAGGGAGAGATGGGACAAAAGAAAGTCTTGCTGGCTACTCCTTTTTTAAAGGCTAGGCTAATGTCTGAAAATTGTAATGTTATTAAGCAGAAGAGCTAACATTTCTGAAAGATTTAACACCCCGTCCCCCAAAAACTGATCTTATGAATCACAAGATGGTAGAAGGCAAGTTGTGGGAAGAGTTGTCACTCATCAACAGTCATCTCACATCTCAATACTCATCAGATGCCCCTAATACTTTCCAGAACTAGTTCCAATTATGAAGGAGAAAGAACTGCCTTTTGCGCTATCAAATATATAATAACTGACCCTTTCTTTAAGGCTCATTCTGCAAGTATGGGCAGTGAAATGGATTAACAATTTCACTTCAGCTCTGCTATATATCAGAAACAGGGTGTGAAGGAATCATAATTTGACAGCGGGTTTTTTGTTGATGAGATAAACAGGTCCCAATTCTTTGGAAGGAACCTACCTATCACAAATGCTGAAACACCCGGTCGGAAAGCGATGCTGCCAGCGGTTTTGGTCATCTTCTGTGTGGAAAACTTTTTCTTTATGTTTTTCTGAAGAAATGTGGCCTTGCCACTGTTTCTCACTGTTACAGTTTTTGCCACACATCCAGCAGTGGAAGTCCACCTGTTTACACAAACCCAAAATGAAAACTGCAGGACAGGCCATACATATCAATCTGGTTAATATAAGTAATTTATGCAGATCCAAACCTGCAGCTGTTTTTTATCAAAGAATAAGCACTTTCTCACTGTACACAGGGCCTCTACCAGAGCCAGACTCATGAAAGTTTAGCCACGCAGCAGTAGTGAATAGAGAACATCCTTCCAGAACCGGATGTGTTGAGAGGACCTGAAAATGCCTGTGTGTACCTGCTGGCTCCTCCCCCAGAGCAACGTGCTTAGGACTGGTGTAAGCTGCGCTGTTATTCACAGGTGCTGCTATCGACCAATCACAGAGCACCCCGGGCTGCATTGGGAGTGCTCAGGTTACACCCAGGATAGCAGGTCCTGGACATCCAGGCCTCCTGTACTTCAGACCATCAGAAAGCTCACTTTCCTGTTTGATTCCAACCATATTCTCAGCCAAAATGCCGCACAATCATCAAGCTCCTACTGCATAACGAGATGCCAGAATCCAAGGCAACTACTCGATCTTACTGTGACTTCAGCATAATCTGTTGGCATGTGAATTTGCTTCCCATTTTCTTTGTTTGCTTGAGGTGCTGGATCCTCGCCTTTTTCTGGCTTTTGACTCTTCAGCCACATTTCATATAGCTGCTCCATGTCTTGAACTGAAGGAAACAGGGGCTAAAGTTAAGTTCGCAGCAATTGACATTGGAGCAAGGAAACTCTAGAAGCCGGCATTAACTGAGAAACAGAATAAAACTCAGGGACTGTTTTTATTACAATTTAATTCTGGGGTTATACTCTTAGGTTTTCATGGTAATGCTTCCATTGGGAATTGGACTACAGGAAACCAGATGTTATCTAGATCATCCCCAGAAAGAGGAGACAGGAATGGGGGAAGGAAGAGCACACCTGAAGGCAGTTACAAAGGCAGAATGCCCACGAATTTATAGCCTGCTTTCAGGCATTGTTTACTTTACTTACTGCCGTTCTCTTTCATGTAAGTCCACATTTCTCGCTCTTCCTGACTGTGAGCAAAGGAGCAGTTCCCAACATATAAACATTTCTTGCCTGATGCAATATGATTGCACAGCTAGATAAAGGAAAGAAACAAGTCAGCAAAGATACGTTCTACTTAAAGGGCAGCTGTCTCTTTCTCACACACGCAGAGGAAAGAGCCATGGGCCATCAATCAGTGTAGACAGGACGAGGATATGGAGGAACCAATGTTTGGCAAGATCAACAAAGTGAATGATGGGCAAACCCATTCTGGCCTGCAAAGGATCCTGATGGTAGCCCCCGTGGCACCAAGGGTTGATATCTACCCACTTGGATAAATCCGGGCCAGTCTCTCAGCCAGCCTACCTCAAGGGCTGCAAAGTATCCCTTGTAACCCCCTTGAATTCCTTCAGAGAAAAATGGGAGGCAAATGAGATTACCTCCATTCCTTTAAAGAAAATTTTAAACTTATTTTCCGGGTTTAGGGTTTTTTTTTTAATATTCCTAGTTGAACAGCATTTTAAAGTAGGATAGCAAAGTGACTTTTTTCTAAAATTTGGATAATCACACAAAATTCACTGATGGGTTCTCCAGCAAAGGACAAATTAGGGAAAGGAAAAAAAAACCTAATCGTAAAGACATGCTCACATCAAATTGCAAAGGCACTTGCTTCTTTGTGGGAAGGGGGCGAATTGTGTTCCACTTCTTGCGCTCGTTTGACATCACCAGCATCACACGGCGATCTTTGGTCCACCTATAAAGGAAAGGCCAACTCAGCTACATAACTGCTTCAAGATGGCTGCATCAGAAACAAAATGGAACTCCTACGGATGGAAATTTCTCAGCTTGTGGCTCTGAACAAACCTCTGAATGCATCACTGACAACGTACTCCAAAACAGATGGACATCACACAGTTGTAATTCAGCTTCCAACAGGGAATCAACAACTGTTTGCTGCCTCATTCTGGCAGTCCAAAGAGTGCCTGGGAGAAATCAGACGCCATCCTGGCACAAGCGTGGCCTAAAGTCTCCTCCCCAACTCCATCTTAAGACTCAACTCAATTGCAGATTCTGGGGCTTTAACAGCACCCTGATTTGAAAAACAGCTGTGGAATCCTGGGAGTTGAAATCCACACATCTTAAAGTTGCCAAGGTTGCGAAACGCTGATCTAGCCTGTTGAAGAGAACTCAAAAGCTTTCCACATTTTGTACCCTTTTAGTTAGCTAGAAGGCCCTGGCCCACTGGATCTGGGGATTTTATTCAGGGCCAGCAGGGCAGCCTCTGC